CTAGATAATGGTTGTGCAATCTTTGAGAAATCTTTAATGAAGCGTCTATAGAAACCTGCATGACCAAGAAAGCTTCGAATTTCTTGAACATTAGTAGGATATGGCAAACTATCAATTAGATCAACTTTTGCCTTATCTACTTCTATTCTCCTATATGACACTACATGACCCAAAACAATTCCCTCCTTCACCATGAAGTGACATTTTTCATAATTAAGAACCAAATTTTGTCAATGCATCTTTCAAGAACTTTAGACAAATGATTCAAGCATTGATCAAATGAGTCACCATAAAAACTAAAGTCATCCATGAAAATTTCAATGCAATTTTCAATGTAATCAGAAAATATGCTCATCATGCATCTTTGAAAAGTTCCAGGGGCATTCCACAAACCAAAAGGCATGCGACGGTAAGCAAAAGTACCAAAAGGGCAAGTAAAAGCTGTCTTTCCTGGTCCTCTGGAGCTACCATAATTTGGTGATACCCAGAGTATCCATCCAAGAAACAAAAGAAAGATTTACATGCTAACCGCTCTAACATTTGATCAATGAATGGTAGTGGGAAATGATCTTTCCTTGTAGCTGCGTTTAACTTACGAAAGTCAATACACATACGCCAACATGTCTGCAATCTCATAGGAACCAGTTCATTAACCTCATTTTTAACCAATTGAAAACTAGACTTTTAGGTACCACATGAACTGGACTTACCCATTGACTATTAGATATTGGATAAATAATTCCCAAATCTAACAACTTAAGAATTTCTTTCATTACTACCTCTTTCATAGTATGATTTAATTTGCGTTGAGCATCTTTTACTGGTTTTGAATCTTGCTCAAGCAAAATTTGATGCATGCAAATTGACGGGCTGATTCCCTTAATATTTGCCAATGTCCAACCTATGGCTGTCATGTAATCCTTCAAAATCCGCATCAACTTCTCTTCTTGAAGCTCTGTTAAGTCATTGGCAATAATTACAGGCGAAGTCTCATCTTCTCCCAAGTAAACATACTTGAGATGATTTGGCAATGTCTTCAATTCAAGTTTCGGTGCCTGCTCAACAGAAGGTAAAATTCTATCATAATTCAGCGGCAAATGAAAGCATTGGTTAACTAACCTAGAAGGTAATTCCTGTAGTGCACAAAGTTCCATATGTGATGCTATGATTCCCTCATTCACTTCAAAACAAATTTCCTTCTGTTGCATGTTATGCTTAAGAACAAAATCCAACTCATCATTCACAAAATTACGCTCAAAATCCTCTTGGACCTATGTATCAATCATGCTAACACTTGCATAAGATTCAAAATCATTTGGGTGCTTCATAACATCAAACATATTGAAAGTAACTTTGTCACCATCAAATTCAAAAGTAAAAGTACCAGAGTCCACATCAACCTTTGTCTTAGCCGTTTTCATGAATGATCTACCCAACGAAAGGATTTCAGATTTTGAAACATACTCATCACTCATGTCAAGTATATAAAAATCAGCAGGAAAAACGAGCTTATCACATTTAACCAAAACATCTTCTACTATCCGTTCTGGATAAATTATGGATCTATTAGCCAATTCAATTAGCAACATCAGTATTCTTAAGAGACCCAATCTTTAACTCATTAAAAGGGGATAAAGACATCACATTTATGGAAGCTCCTAAGTCAAGCATAGCTGATTTAATCATTCTCGATCCAATCACACAAGAAATAGCAAAGATATCTGGATCAGAGCACTTTTGAGGCAACTTTCGTTGGATAACCGAAGAAACATTTTCACTCACAAAGATCTTACCTTCAAGCTTCCTTTTCTTAGAACACAATGATTTAAAAAATTTGGCATAACTTGAAATTTGACCAATTGCATCCAACAATGGAATATTAATTGCCACCTTCCGAAAAATCTCCAAAATATCTTTTTCGTTTTCCTCTTTCTTCGCTTTTGCTAACCTGCCAAGAAAAGGTAGAGAAATCACTATTTCTGGTTCAGATTTTACATGCTCAGAATTTACCTCTTTTAATGGTAGTTGGGTGTTGTCTACATCCTTCTCGGCTTCTTGTGAAATTTGTTCAGATACTCCATCTTGTAACTTGGGACCTTGAAGCTCTTTCCACTTCTCAGCATCATTGCACTAACATTTTCTCTGGGACTGACTTCTGGTTGGGAAGGAAGCCTCCCTGCATCAGCCTCTAATTTTTTTAATGAGGTAGCCATTTGAGACATTTGTTTCTCAAAGTTCTGTATGCTAGCTTGAGAAGACTGTTAAGCCTGTGTAAGACCATGCACATTAGTTGCTAAACTTCTTACCATTTCCTCTAAAGACATACCTGACATAGATGATGATGTTTGATTCGAAGGTGGTGTTGGCTCAGAATTTCTCATGATAGGCTGTGATTGTTGCTGGAAGTTTGACTGTTTGTAGCTGAAGTTTGGATGATACCTCCATCCTGGATTGTAAGTATTCGAATAGGGATCATACTTCCTTTGTCCTTGTCCTGGAAACCCACCCATAGCATTAACTTGCTCATTGGGATCATCTTGTAACTTGGGGCATAAATCAGTAAAGTGCCCAGAGTTTGAGCAAATGCCACAAGCCTTGACAGTTTGTACTTGCCCTACAGCCATTTGACGCACCAAAGAGGTTGCATCAAATATTTGATTTTCTAAATTTAAAATACTTACCTCATTGACATGTCTGGTAGTTGTTTCTGCTCTTTTATTAAACTGTTGAGTAGTTTCAGCCATGGTTAAAATTACGTCGGTAGCTTGTGCTGGCGTTTTATTCATTAAAGCTCCTCCACTGGCTGAATCTAACTTGTCTCGATCCACCTCTGATAGCCCCTCATAGAAATATTTAAGTAGCAATTGTTCAAGGATTTGATGTTGAGGACAACTCCTATATAGCTCTCCGAATCTTTCCCAGTATTCGCACAATGTTTCTCCATGAAGTTGTCGGATTCCACCAATATCTTTCTGAATATTTGTTGCACGATGTGCTGGAAAGAATTTCTCCTAAAACTGATTCCATGAAATAATTGAACCAGCTGGTAGACCATATAACCAGTACATGGCTTTGTCTTCCAAAGAGAATGGAAAAGCACGCAGCTGAATTTGCTCTTCAGTGACTCCTTGATAGCTTACCGTTAAGCACATGGAATCGAACTCCATCAAGTGCTTATGAGGATCTTCACCTCTAAAACCACGAAATTTAGGTAATAATTGAAGTGTACCTGGTTTTAGCCCAAAACGTGGAGTATTTGCAGGCATGGTTATGCAGAAGGTTCGTCAGTTCACATCTGGACTCGCAAGCTCCCCTAGAGTTCTGTCACCTATACTTTCTTCTTCAAATTCTTTCCCTTTGTCAGAGTTTTTAACTTCTTCTTTTTCTTCTTCTTCTTGGCTATCGTCCTCTTGAGATTCAGATGTAGCACTGAGAAGTAGATCTCTTTTTCTCTTTTCCTTTCGGTTTTGTTTAGCTGTCTTTTCTATCTCAGGATCAAACAATAAAATAAAAATAAAAATATAAACAAACTTTTAGCAAGAAATAAATCACTCTAGACCGTGCTCCCTGACAACGACGCCAAAATTTAGTGGCTGTCAAACCAACAAAAATAAAAGAGCCTACTCCTAAGAAATTTAAGTAGTATAGCAACGAGTAGGGTCGTCTCCTCAGGAAATAAGGAAGTGAAAATATCTTTAATTAAAAGCAAAGTAATCAAATGGGAGAATTTTTTGATTTATAACTAATGGATGACAAAAATAACTGGTAAACGATAAAAAATACTTTTTGAAAATCGATAGTAAGAGAAACTCTAGTCAAAGGAATAATTTTCATCTTGATGAATCCAATTGATCATTGATGCAATAATTAACTCAACAAATCAAGAATATGTTGGTTATCGTTGTTGGAACCTCCTAACAACTCAGTCTTTTAATTTATTACCAGTGATTAAGAAACATTCATTAACCACTCTATAGCCAAAAACACTACCTGGAACCTCCTAGGACTTAGTTTTCGACAAGCAAAGACCCAACTTAATTTATAACAAACAAACCTTGTTTCATTAAAAATTGATTATTTATTCTCACAACACAAATAAACTACTTACCAAGCAATCAATTGCATTGTCACTTCTAAGGAACAAACAAAACTTGTTGTTTAATGAATTAGATTATCTAGGAGAACTGAATGCTACCAGCTATTCAAATAATACTAAATAATCTTCAATAATTATCAAAGAGAATAAATAAATACTCAAAACATGTTGGTGAATAGAAAATGATTAGATCTCACAATTGAATAACATCAAGGCTTCAATAAAATCCTTCAACTAAAAAAAATATTTAGTTGCTAAACATGGTTAAATCAACAACACATGAATTGATGTTTGACATTATAGAGCTAAAACTGACGAAAATGGAGAAATCCTTGTCCTGAACTCCAGCTGTCGCTCCTTGTGTTGTGCCTCTTCTCCTTTTTTTTTATTATAAATGAAAACAAAGTGTACATATGGTATAATAGGGCAGACCTCGTCCAGCCTCTCCAAAATCCGCAGAGGAGAATTTAAGTTTCCAGAATTTTCAGATCGGTCCCTAAAGTTTGCAATAATTATATTTTAACCCTAAAACTTTTGATAAATTATAATTTAATCCCTATTTTCACGTGCCCACGTGGGAATACAACCTCGTTTCTGGAATTTTTTGCTTCCTTTATTGATTTTTGCTTAAATCTTGTGTGCCACACGAGAATCAATCACTTATTCTCCAACTTGAAACTTGATTTAACAAAACCTTCTAAAACTCTTCAAATCAACACTTTTCTTCTTTTTTTTATTCCAAATCTTTCCTATGATCAAATTAAGAACCAAAACACTAATATTAACGTAGATAATATTCAAAACAACACATAAACCACTAAATATCATGCTAATATTTACATTATCACCAATCCTACTCATGCTTCATAATGTTTATAAGGGAACCACAAAAACTGCAATTTACCTTCCCCTTTCCTTTCCTAACCTCCTTTGTAATCTGAACATCCTTCGAAATTTTTATGTGTTGAGATAAACTCTGAAAATAACACATAGACAATAAGCAACATTACAGATTATCAAGAATGTACACTTACAGGCAACATATTGAAAGTAATCGAAATAAACCTTAACGATGTCCTTATTCTTATGTTCCGATGCATCTTTGCTCTCAGTTTTTAAAACTTTCCTTGGAGTTCTCCTCAAAGCTTGTTTTTTCACATTTTGCTTAGAAGCATGTACATCAGTATGCTGAACATTGTCACATTTGAGCAAAGCAGTTATGATGTGTATAAATGAGTAACCTAAATTAAAAACTATTAAGTAAATAGTAATCACTTAAACTCATATGGTTTGTTTTTTATTTTTTCTTCAACTGGTCTATTTCCTCTTTGCTTCAGCTTCAATGGCCTTTACTTCCTAATAGCACAACATTGAATCAAATCAATATTCAATTAACTAGTTGGATTACTGAAAAATAAACCATAGTGTCTTCTTACTGCAACGATGTTTTCATCAAGATCAACTGACTGCTTGTTGGACTCATCAGAGATGGTAAACTTTCTCTTAACGTGCAGATGAACATTTGATGTTATATATTCCCTGCATCACCCTAAACTGGTCTTATACTTAATTTTAAGTTAAAGTACACTTACAGGCAACAAAGGCAACATAATGGATTCTGAATTTTCTGGTGCAACTATCTCCATATTAAGCTGTACCACATCAGAGAGGTCATCCTCATTGCTGCCAAGGTCTACAACCCCTTCTTCAGGATCAATGAAGGGGCACGTCCTCTAGTTGTGACCTGTGATCCCACAGGAACCACATCTATTTTGCACTTAAACTTGTGGCAGGCCCCTATGATTGATTTTGTGTTCCTTGTGAGGCGTTTCTTGAAATGCACTTTCTCTTATTATCACCTGAAATTTTACAAATTGAACAACGGCATTTCTGTCCAATCCGTCTCAACTTCTGTTTTCCATCCTCCTCATTGATTCTTTCAGCTAGACTTTTTTTTTTTTCCTTTTATTACTATTTGGCCTGCTAGGACCTCTAGCATAAATTGGTGGAAGAAGTGGTGTTCCCGGTACTTTTTCCCATTCCGATTTACCTCTCATTGGCAATATACATGGTTGATAATAGTTGTGATAAGTTTGGACAATATAACAGGGATGGACAAAATCCATTTTGGATCTTTCTCAGCACACCAAATTGCAGAGATGACATGTGGACAAGGTACTCCGCAGCTGCCATTTTCTATAGCTGCAAGTCTTAGCTTTCAAGTCCACTACATATTTCCTATCATCCTCATCCCCCCAACCTCAAAATGGTTCTCATCATGAGGTGTAGGCTGACATACTTTTGCCTCCTTAGAGTTGTGCATTATCCTCCTGAAAATCCTAGGACATATTGCCCTATTACTCCACAAACCATTAGCTCTTTCTCTATTTTCATACCAGCTCTCGACTAGTATCCTTTTAATTTCATCTAGCATGCTTCTTATTGGCATGCACCTAGCATCCCTAATCATTCCATTTAATGACTCACAGTGGTTATTCAAAAGAATATCGCACGTGGGCCAAAAACTAAAGAAAGCCCTGCACCACTCTGATTTTGGTTTGTCCTTTAACCACTTAGGTGCATCTTCATTCAACTTTGCTATCTTTTACATCTTATAATTGAAATGATTCTTTGTGGTAGATTTAGCTGCTGCCCATAGCAACCGCCCAAGTGCTTCACCCCTAAACCCCTGATCAGAAAAATTATGCTGCATATGCTTAACATAAAACCTATTATTAGCATTTGGAAACACATTTTCACAAGCCTGAATCAGCCCTTTCTATTTATCACTCAAAAGAGTCCATTCATTATCCCTTTCAATCATGAGATCCTTCTTCAACAGCTTCAGAAACCATTCCCATTTAAATTACTCTCACCCTCAGCAACAGCCCATGCAATTGAACATACTCCATTGTTTGGATCAACTCCTACTACTGTGAGTAAGACCCCTTTGGCTGCACCCTTCAAAAAAGTCCATCTATACCTAAAACAGGTCGGCAAGAGGATAGAAATCCATCTCTAATGGCTACAAAATAGATAATAGCCTTAAGAACCTAGCCTGCCTTTTTTTCTCATCAACAAACATTGGATCATCAACTAAGTCCACTGTAGAGCCCGGATTACTCATTACTATTTCCCCACAAAAATTCCCCAGCTTCTGATACTAAAATCGTTCTTGCTTTATAAGCTTGTCTCAGTGTGAGGAAAAACTTGTACTTCTCCTTCGCAAGCCTCTTGTATCTCTTAGTATTGATCTAAGGGTCATCCTTAACCAATTGAATTCAAACCCTGCCAGCAAAGCCTGAGGTTACACTCTTATTCTTATGCATGAATTTGCACTTGTGACGAGGCACAGATGTCATCACCACAGGAGACCCAGTACAGTTGCTCACAAATATCTCTCAGTCACAAATATCTTTCCCTATCCTGCACACAGCCTTAATTCTCCGTTTGTCATTTTTCTTGAACCTCCATCTCCTAGCTCTTCTTATATTCCATCGTCTGATTGCTTCTTTACATTCAGCCCGATAACTAAAAGCCAAACCACATTGAAGGGGTGGCTTCTCCATGTCCTTTGGATGAAATACCAAAGGCTTCTCTATATCTTCATCATCTGATCCATTTAGACTGTCCAAGTCTTCCTCGGAATCTGGTTCAACCTCTGACCCACTATTGTAATCGTAGTTTCCCTCGTCATATTTGTAATTCTTTAGGGGTTTCGACTGCACCTTTCTTTTTCTACCTGCTAATGTAGAAGCTTTCTGTTTCGCACCCCCTGACCCTTGCTCACCACCATTACCATCTGACCCTTGTTCATCACCATTACCAGTTGAACCATGTTCTTCATACTCATTCTCAGAATCATCATGGTCATATTCTGAATCTTTCATCCCAATTTCCATTGCTGCTGTCAGTATCACTTTCACTTCCACCATCTTTACCAGTTGTACTATCAGCTATAGCATTTAATGGATAGTCATACAGAATCAGAAGTCTGTCACTAGCTACAGCATCCATGCACAACTGTTGCACTTTAGTGTCACTGATAACCTCCTCTAGATCATGCTCTTCATCCCCCTCATAAATTGAGTAGAACTTTGTTCCCCCTTGTTCCCAGATTCAGAATCATACATCATACGGATATCATAAAGCAAAAGTCTGTCAAAATCAACATAATCGAACACCTTTGTCTCTCCGCCAACATAATGTGGGTAGGGTTCTTTCACTATTTCTCCATGGTGGAAAAACTAAACTGTCAACAGCTTGCTAGTTCTATCTACACATGGCAACAAACACACCAACATTAGGACCCTACTTTGTTGTATATTGTTTACAGAAACCAATACCACTTGACTAAATAATACTGAAACCAACAAAAGAACAAATAAACAAAATAGAGCCATTTCATTTTCAGTTACTGTGTTAACTGGACCACATACACAAAATATCTCAGTACACTAGATAGATCAGATTTAATAATAATGTAAACTCCATTTGATTCTCTTTGTCCCTTTTTGAAACACATATAGGGCCTTCATCTTTTAAAAATTTTCCATCATGCAGAAACCCAAACCCTCAGCCCTAATTCCAAACTACGAAATTATAAAAAGGGTTTTGACTTTTTACACATTCCCATCGAAATAACAAACTGATCTATGGAAAAACAGGGAAAGTCAACCAAAAACCGTAGCCCCAAATTTTTAAAAACTTACTCAGAAAAAGAGTCAAATTTTCCACATATTTCCATCGAATAACTAACAGATCTATCCAAAAGAAGGACAAAAACACTATAAGGGACAAGATCTTACCGTAGTTTGGGGTTGGATCATTGTTATACTTCTGCTCTCTCAATTTAGACATCGAGAGAATCTCTTCAATGATTTCTCTTCTCTTCGCCTTCGACAGTTAGTTGTTTCCTTTGATTACTATAGTTTATGTTGATCAAACTGGATAAATTGGCCGGATCTAAGGTTCTATGACAGAGGCATTTTGTTGGAATACCAATGGTTTTTTCTTCTTAAATGTAAAGAGTTTTTTTTTTTTTTTTGAAAGGAAATGTAAAACGGATATAATTGAAAAAGGCTTCTGTGGCATTTTTGTTGAAAAAGGCTGAATTTTTTATTTTTTTTCAGGGTCAACAAATGTGGGTCCCCCACCTGTAGGAAATGAATAAAAAATTTGGAGATTAACGAAGGCATTAAAATTTCCACTAATTACTACAAAAACTTCTAAAAAGACCAAATTTGGGCAGAAAAATATATTAGGGGACTAAAATCGGAACCAGAATATTTTTGGTGACTGGGGTGGGCTACCCCTAATATATGAGGGATCAAAACGTGCATTCGTCCAAAAAAAAAACAAAAAAAAAACTTCCAAAAAGAAATATCACTTTACCGTGCTCACCGACAACGGTGCCAAAATTTGGTGGGTGTCAAACCAATAAAAATAAAATAACCTACCCCTAAAATATTTGGTAGTGTAGCAGTGAGTAGGGTCTTCTCCTCAGGAAACAAGTAAGTGAATTTATATCTAATTAAAAGCCAAGTAACAGAAACATTGTGGTTTTGATTTTCGGATAAGTAAAGATAATGAAATAAAACGAGTTAAATTAAGATGATTATAAAGAGAGAAAGATTCTAGTCAAATAAATTATTTCCACCTTGATTCAACCAATTGATCCTTGATGCAAAGAAAAATTCATATAATTCACAAAGGACGAATAAATTGGTTATAGTTATTGGCACGACCTAACAACGAGCTTCTCCTTACTTTATCGGTAGTCAAGATACGATCGTTAACTACTTCTCTAATCAAAAGACAACCCTAGAGATGCTCTTAGGATTTAGTGTTCTAACAACATTAAAACCTAGAGAAACCCAATTGCAATTAGAAACACACAGTCGGGATCATTTAAATTGGATTATGTATTTCCATAACACGCATCGGCTGCTTACTTAGGCAATCTGAGTTGTTGATTGCCACTTATTAAAACTAAACAAACAATTTCGGATTTGCCGTTTTAAATAGCTACAGATCAATTTGAAAGAATTAAATTTTTTCTATTCTTTCAAGATAATTTCCAAATTTGGCTCTTTTGAGAACTCATCTCTTAACTAGCAAGAAAACGAACCTAGACCCTTTTATAGACTCAAAACTTTAATTCTATTGAAGGAATAGAAGTAGCCTCCAAGTAAAAGATTATTTCATTGGAAATAATCGCCTTTTTGAGTGTGAATACAATTTATTATGGGATACCTTCCTTCTTTGAGTGTGAAAAGGAATTGCTTGACTTCTTCCTTAAGAATGGTTTTATAACTCTAAAAACTTGGGAATTAAGCAATAAATTCGTCCAAAACCGCTGCTGCCCATCAAGTTTCCCGAAATTGCAGTTTGGTCCCTAAAGTTTATAGAAATTATATTTTTGCTCTAAAACTTTCTCAATTTTGCACTTTAGTTCCTAAATGAAATTTCCAGCTTGTTCTTCAACGTGATCACATGATAAATCAACTCCCCTTCTGCCCATGAGCATAAATCTCTTAAACAAAAGCTATAAAAGTCTCCAAAATCAACACTTTTTCATCTTTTTTTCCAAAGCGCCTCCTGTGATCAAATTAAGCACAAAACACTAATATAAGCATAGATACTACTCAAAATAACCCATAAATCACCATAAATATTATACTAATATCAACTTTATGACGCTGCTTTGACTCCAATTTTCCTCCTAACAACCACTACTTCTGACAGTCTCCTCATTTACCAGCACCTGCACATTCTCAAGCACTTATGGTCTAGTATGCTCCTCCTCCTACTCCATGGCATCCTGACACTGGTACTACCGCTCATGAAAAACCAGATTTGTCGTCCCTCAGTATCGCCAATGATGATACTGGTATGTATCATATTTTAGTTGGTAATGATGCTGCTTTACCTAGTAAGCATATTGGTCAAACTATCTTGCCATCATCTTCTTGTCCTCTTTATTTAAATCGTGTCCTCCATGCCCCTAATCTCCCTAAACCTTTATTATATATTCAATAATTCACACAGGATAATCACTGTTTTTTTGAATTTTATTCTAAATTCTGTTGTGTTAAGGATCAATCAACCAAGGAACTATTCCTTTGAGGTAGGGCTATTAATGGCCTCTATAGGTTGGATCTCGCTGCTCGTGATTCCTTGTCTCCGGTATCTTACCTAGTTCTCATGTATCATGTTCCCATCATCTGAGTCGAGTTCCCCTCCACCACCTCAACCTCCTCCTTCCCGTCCTCATTCAATGGCACTCCGTCCTAACCCCAAGCCCAAGAAGATCTTTGATCTCTCGGCTCATCTTGCCTCAGTTTCACTGCTTCCGCCTATTGCTCCTACATCTTTTACTCAAGCAAAGTCTCTTCTAAGTGGAAAAATGCCATGAAGGAAGAAATCTCTGCCCTTCTCAAAAATAACATCTGGACCTTAGTTCGCCCTCCTTCCTCCGGCAATGTTATCGGAAATCGATGGCTTTATAAGATTAAGATCCATGCTGATGGTTCTGCTGAGCGCTCTAAGACTCAAATGGTGGCTCGAGGATTCACTTAGTCTCTTATTACACTGACACTTTTAGTCCGGTTGTTAAGCCGGTAACTTTTCGCTCGGTGTTGAGTGTTGACAGTTGTTTTGGCTCGTGGATGGTTGATCTCTCAGCTTGATAACAGTAATGTCTTTCTTAATGGTGTTTTGTGTGAAACTGTCTATATAGTTCAACCCTAGGTTTTTGTTGATCATGTGCGCCCGCATTATGTGTGTAAGCTACATAAGTCGTTATATGGGTTTAAGCAAGCTCCTCAGGCATGGTATTCTCGGTTGGCTGCGTTTCCGGTCACCTTGGGATTCGTGGAGTCTCATTGTGATCCTTCCCTATTTGTATACCATCGTGGGTGTCAGTTTTGTTTTCTACTAGTATATGTTGATGACATTATTATTACAAGCAGCACGTCTGGTCTATTTCAGCATTTTATCTCTTGTCTTGCTCAGAGTTTTCTCTTTGGGATTTGGGTCCCTTGAGTTATTTCCTTGGCGTTAAGGTTCATCGCACTTCCCGAGGTTTGCTCCTCTCTCAGTGCAAGTATGTTACTGTTCTTACGACTTGCCAATATGCATACTTGCAAGCCTATTTCCACTCTTATGCATGTTGGTGTTGTGTTGTCCTGTTTGGATTGTACCCTGTTGTCTTCTGATGAGGTGACTACCCATCGTCGGCTTTGTGGTAGTCTGTAGTATACCACTCTCACCCGGCCGTATATCTGTTTTGCGGTTAATAAACTTTGTCAGTTATGCATCAACCCGACACCTCTCATTTTCAGGCTCTCAAATAGGTCCTTAGCTATCTTCGTGGCACCATTGCTTTCTGTTTGGTTATACATCCCATAGATTTGAGCACTCTTACTACTTTTAGTGACGCTGATTGGGCTAGTTGTCCAGATGACCGTCATTCTATTACATGATTTCTCCTGTATTTAGACCCCAATCTCCTTGCATGGGCATCTCGGAAGCAACCCATTATAACTCGCTTGTCAACTGAGACTAAGTTTCGTGCGATTGCTAATGTCTATGTTGAGTTGCAATGGATATGTCATCTGTTATCTGAATTGGGTGTTTCGTTGCTTCATTCTTCCTCTGTTTGGTGTGACAATAGTAGGGCTATTTTTCTTGCTGCTACCGGTGTTTCATTCCCTTATTAGACATGTTGAGGTGGATTTTCACATTGTTCATGATCATGTTCGGCGAAAGTTTGTTTCGATCCACTTTGTGTTTGCTGCTGATCAGATTGCTCACATTCTGACCAAGCCTTTGTCCAAGGATTTGTTCCTTCATTTTTGGCTTCTCTCTTATCCGCTGCAGTTTATGGGGGTGTATTGTAATAATTGTATTTATGGTAGTAATCTTTTGTACAGGGTTTATTAGTGTCTATATATACCCTTTTATATTGTACATTACATCACATGGAACTGCAATTCTTATTCTTCTAAGTTGTTTTATTTCCCGAATATGTGTGCTAAATATCTCCAAATACAAGAGTTACATATTGCTGAGTTTAGTAAGAGGAAACTGTAAATATGTAAATAATTAACCTCAATAACGGAAGAAGAAAAAAATTACTTCCCATTTTCTAAATTAAATTTCTGTCAGGAGCATTGGTTTCTTTCATTGACTCACTTGAAAAGTGGTTTTTTTTAAAGGTTATTCGGATGAGCTTTGCAAAGAATAGTTACAACGGCCACCATAAAACAAACGACGGATAGGATCAGAGGTAAGCCCTTCCCAAAACTAGTTTTGTTTTTTGTTGTCAAGTGTATATATCTACTTCAAGGTAAGCCCTTACCAAAACTTGTTTTGGTTTTTGTTGTCAAGTGTATATATCTACTTCAACTGGCCTTTACGAGAGTAAATTTTGTTTGATGAGCATGGCAAACGTGTTTGAAAATTTGCAGATGTGAAATTTGTAATTTTACAAATCAGATGATGCTTGTAGAATGTTTACTAGAATTTCTAGATGTGACATGTTCCTCAGAAGCCAATTCTCCAAAGTTTATACTGTTTGTCATACTATTGTGGTCATCAGTTAATATTCAACAAAAGTTTGCCAGGTTTGATCAGAGCACCATTGCCATAGCATACTTTTTTGAAAAAAATGTCCTTCAAGTGTGGGCTGTACATTTCTGACATCATTCGATTCCCTAATCTCCACAATTTCTATTCAGCTTGATTTTTTAAGTAGGCATTTTAGTAAGTATTACTTTCTTTATTCAAGTATTTGTATTTCTAGTTCTACAATTATATACCTTGAACTTTGCATATGTAGTATGATTTCTTCACTCTTCTTTACATTGCAGATTATGAGATTCCACTCCCATCAAAAGCCTGTTGACGCTGATATTTGAGGTTCTCTAGCAAGGTAAACAACTTTGCCCTACTTCTGTCACCAATAAATTCTTAAAATAACACCATGTGGAGGAGATTTTTGTTGTAGGACTTGTTCTTTCTTATCAATTGTGCATTTTGTAGTCCCCTCCCCTTTCAGTGAAAGTATCAGCAGTGAATGTAAATTTGTGGTTATGACAGGTGGTTTTCAATCTACTAACATTCCTTCTTAATTAACTGGAATTCCATAGTCATAATCGTGTGTTTTTTGTAGCAGAATTGTTTGATTTTTTTTCCATTGTTAATGATTTGGTTTTGGTAAAAACCATCTTTAATGTTGAGAAACTAATTTTCCTTCTCATTTCAGCATTTCCTCTTGACAAGAGAAAGTGCCACTGGAATGGGCTTGTTATACTGGCCATGTATAGTTTCCTCTCTCGTTTGGAAAATCAAACTTCCATTTTAAACCTGTTAACAAAGCGCGTGTTACTAGGAATTTTTGCAGGATGTTCCATGTTGGTCTAAAGGACTTCTCTATTGAAGGTGAGTCATTTTCTTTCATATTGCTGCTCAATTAAATCCATTAGATGGTGAAATAAATCAATTCTTAGCTAAGACATTTTTCTCGTGACCTTTTGATGTGATTCGGGCAATCTTAACTGGCTGCACCAGTTTTTGCACAAGGAATTGAATACCCAAAACAAAATGGCTCATGCTGTGAGTAACTCGAGTATATGCCTTGAGTGGTGAAAGCAAAGTTTAGGTTAGATGATAGTAAAAGAAGTTCCTACCAAAAGTTTCAATCCTTTTGGAATTCTGTTGCTTTTAAATTCAAGAAGTCTTGTTTAAGCCGAAAAAATCACCCTAAAGCGTGAGAAAGAAGGGGTGAAAATCTCCTAAAACATACAAAACCAAGCGATTGTGGATGTGTTCTAAAACCGACCTCAGACTTAGAATCGAAGACTTAGGGTTAACTTTGGTTTAATATTAATAAGAAAAAGATATAGAGAAAGAAAGAGTGAGACAAGCCAAAGAGTGGTGGCTGTCAATCCATTAAAATGAGAAAAAAGAGATAGATAGCACCGACTAGTTATGGAGAACGTCGATAATGTGCTATTACAAGAAGAATCGAATTCACTGAAGTAAAACACGATGAACGACTACCTATTTCTATGAAGAAAAATAGGCCAAAAACTATTTAGGCTAGGCTACACTAGAAAAACATGATAAAAATACATGAAAGAAAAGAAGAAATACAAAGAAAAACGAATGATATCGATGATGATGAATTGAGGTGTGTTGGTTGTTGATGATGCGCGGGGCTTCTTTTTATAGAGCTCATGATCCGGCTATGACTTCCATGGAGAGAAATCAGAATTGTACTCCACGGCGGACTCCTTGTAATTAATCACATGGCAAGAATATTTTGTGTATCAATTTTAAAGGAATTCTACTTCCTTCCACGGCAGTAGATTCCAAAGCTAAGCAATGCTTTTTATCTAATCAATAAGGAATTAATTTTGAGGCAAAAACTAATTGATTAACCTTCCAGAAACTTTCATGCGGCAACCTTCACGTGGAAATCCTTCACCAAATCAAACATCAACTGTGAAAGAAGAAAATAGAGAAGTGTGAAGCCGACAATTAGTTGCAGCGGCGGAACCCTAGGAAAAATTTAGAGGCCAGGAAAAGAAAAAATGATACCATGAAAGAAATATTGTGTATATTATTTACATTATACAACATGGTATTTATAGTACATAAAGTTACAATCCTAGCCGACTATCTCGGAAACCCTAATTAGGGTTTCCGTGATTATATATATTCTATCACTCACTACTATGGCAGGGTCTTCTAATGCTTTGCTACCAGAACAAACTACTTCCAAGCATTAAGGAGCTTTTATTGGATTTAGGGAGGATATGGAATCCATATTAGATATTCTCCGAGGAGGACAAAGAGCTCTCACTATCATTTCTATTTCTAGAATGCTTGGCCAAGGCAAGACCATGTTAGCCAAAAGAATTTTTGATGATCCTAAAGTTCGGTATCATTTTAAGAAGGCTGCATAGGGTTATGTTGGAAAAGAATGTGATTTCAAACATTTGTTGGCCAGCATGTTGATCTTTCACAGTGAGAACAAGGATCATGACAACTGGGAAATCCAAGATTTAACTAATAAATTGCAGAAAAGTTTAAAAGGAATAAGATATTTCCTAGTATTGGATGACATATGGGATGTTGATACGTGGCGCAAAGTTCAAGAATCATTTCCAGATGATAGAAATGGAAGTCGCATCTTGTTTACAAGTCGAAATTGTGATCTTTCTTCACAATCTAGATTGAATTCAATCTCTTATCCTCTTCACTTGTTTTCAGATGAGGAAAGTTTGGAGTTGATCAAAGATAAGATTTCCTGCAATGATGATTTGCCTCCAGAACTTTTAAAGGTCGGAAAACAAATTGCGGTAATGCGTAAAAAATGGTGAGGGGTGCTCAGAAGATATGCAAAGAAAATACTTGGATTATCTAGTTTCTCAAAGTTTAGTTGTTGTAAGTCAAAGAGGCTCAATGAACGATAAAGTGTTGCATGGTTCATGATCTGATATATGACATGTGTTTACAGAAAGCTGCAGAAGATAATTCGTTACATGTGGTAGACTGTGGTGCCATTCCCCGAGAGCATAACCATCACCATCACCGTTGGCTTTGCATTCGCGACATTGGTCCAGATTTCACCCGATATCCCATCGAGTTCCACTAGAAAGAAGCTAGCAACAAGTCAGGTTCACACTTTATACTGGAATGATATTTGTGAGTTGTCATCAGCAAATAAATACTTGTGCACTTTTTTTGGCAGCTTCAGAGCTCTTACTATGTTGTATATGTTGTGTACATGTCAATGAGACTCTACAATACCTGAAATAATATTCACCAATATTCATTTGACATACTTGTCACTACGCGGTCCTTTTCATTGTATCCCAAGGTCAATAGCTAAGCTGTAGAGCTTGGTAACACTCGTTATACAAGATCACAATTACTTTAGGAGGCTACCAAAGTTTTTGTGGGAGATGAAGAGTTTTACAGACGTTGCGGGTTGTAAAATCTCTTCTAGATTTTGATGGTTTTCGACAAAATATATCATCGGTGGCATCATTAAGTAATATCCACACATTTGGGAAGATAGTTGTTCCTTATGACACTGACACGCCGGAGTTTCTAAACAGTTTATCAAGTCTCGGGAAGTTATCTTGCTACTATGATATAGAGCTACATCCCAAGTGGTTGTTTGGATCTCTGAGGAAACTGGAGAGCTTAAAAGTTGAAAGGTCGAATGTGACCCCTCGTCGTGTCATCCATGGTTAGAGAAGTCTAAGAATAATCTTTCCTGATACTCTGAAGAAGTTGTCTATATCGGGTACTAGACTTCCTTGGAAGGCCATGTCTATATCGGGTACAAGTTCTAAACAGTTTACACATTAGTTGTAATAGGGATCTAATTGTAAAATTGTACAGAGTAGTAGGGACTGTTGTGCATAATTAAATTGTACAAGGACTTAGTCGAGTAAGTTCAACTTGTTGACCTATTAGCTGTATTAGATACAGGATCTATGTCCTGATTGTAATTAAGAGACAATAATAGAGTATATACCAAAATCGTCTTCTTGAAGATTCTCTCAAACCAGCTTAAACACTTGAACCAAAATCCTTAAATTCATTTTCCAAGGTTTCAAGATGGTATCAGAGCAGGTTTCATTCCTGCTCAGTGTCAGAATACCTATCGATTGAACCAAAAAATTTGTTAGTTCATCAGCTAAATCTCAAACCCTAATTCGTTAGAGCAAAAGCTTGAAAATGGAGTTTCAGCAAGATACAGATCATGTTGGGTTTCGAATTTTCCTTATTATTTTCGACCCTCACACGTTTTTGTCCTTATTTTAGGATACTTTTAATATTAAATAATTGTGACATGTGCAATTATTTAATTATTTCTTAATTTTTAAACTTTAGGAAACTTCTAGTCCAATACATCCGAATAAGAGTTGTAATCGGATTTCTCTTCCTCCTTGGCCGACCTAGACCCTTCCTTGGCCTATAAATAGAGGTCTTGGTTGTGGATTTGAGGCATGACTTCAATAATAAAGAATTTCATTCATAAACTTGTGAGATCCCTCCTTGTTTCTTATTCTTGCAAGAATAACTTGCTTTTCCAACAAAATAGGGTTTGTTCTTGAAGCAGAGCTAACCCAAGTTTTCAAGTGTTCTTGGTCTGTGGATGTTTTATTTGACATTTTGTTGAGCACACCCAATGTTGATCTACAACGTGTGGGGAGCTTCGGGTCGTTTTGACTAGGGTTTCAAATCTTAAACACCTTCTCCATCTTTCCTTCCCTTCCATCATGTTTTTAGCTTGGATTTTTTTTGGTCCAGCTATTCTTTTTTGTGGTTTGTGTGCTTGCATAGTTTTTACTTCGTGGTTACACAAAGATTCAAACATCCGGGTAACTTTTCAAGTCAAGCTTCCGCAATAATCGCGACTCGAATAAAGATTCATATCAAGTAGCCACAATTTCACAAGGTAACCTTAGTCTTTAGTATACTATTCCAAACTGAAGCAACTGTGGGATGAGTTGAAGTGTTTAGGTCCTTTATCTGATTGTAATTGAAATTTCAATGAGAATTTGACCAAAGAGAATAGGCATAAACTGATGGAGTTTCTCAGTGGATTGAATGATTTGTATACTAGTATAAGAGATCAGATACTGGTTATGGATCCTTTGCCTGAGGAAAAGAAGGCATATACTATGGTGCTTACAATAGAAAAGCAGCAAAATGTGCACAACATTGATGTGGAATCAACATATCAAAACGCTATGCTAGTACAAAGGAAGAATTCTGGCACTGTGCATCATAATGCAGGAAATTTTAGTGGAAACAAGACTCAAGTTAGTGGAGGATCAAGCAATGTAAACTATGGAAACTGGAATCAAGGCAGAACTAACTGTGGAACAGGAAAGGAGAATTCCATCAGGATTGATAAGGCATTAAAAAGGCTGCAAAAGTGTGATCATTGTGGTGGAACTGGTCACTTGAAAGAAGGATGCTTCAAATCAATCTGATTTCCTGATTGGTGGGAAGGTCTCAAGGAAAAGTGATAGGCTTTAACTCCAAGAAATTTAGCAAACTTCACTGAGACTCCAGTGGACCATGGGTCAGAAGGACAAACAAACAATGAGAATCTGTTGAGCATGATAAGGATGATGCAACAGGAAATGTCAAAATTGATGAAAGGAAAAGCTGTGGCAACAGAAGGAGATCACAGCAACCTTGCATACTACCATGATTTCTCTAGTGTGAGTACTTATCATGCCTTAAGTGCTATGGATTTGACTGACATTGAGCTAGCATTGTTGTGGTTTCTAGACACTGGTGCTACCGGACATATGACCTCTCTTTTAAAAATCTTAGCTCAATATAGGAAAATCACTAAGTTCACTCCTGTCACCTTACCTGATGGCAGTATCAAACCAGTAGAACACATAGGAACTGCAAGACTTTCTAATAATCTAGAAGTAGCAGATTGCTTGCATATTCCTTCATTCAAATACAACCTCTTGTCAGTAAACAAGCTAGCCTCTACTTCTCACATTGATTGCTTCTTTTCTACCCACTTCTGTCTGTTACAGGACTAGGTGACTAGAAGACTGGTTCCTGTAGGAAAGGTCTTGAACAGACTCTATGTCTTAGATGTTTCCTCTTTTTCAGGTACTACCATTACCAATCATCCAAGTATATGTCAACCATCCTTTTATCACACAGATACATACCAGATCAAGTCATCATTCCAACTTAGCTGCTGAGAACAACTATACAACATGGCATCAAAGACTAGGCCATGTGTCCAATAATGTACTTAGCAGACTAGGTTTTCTTTCAGAACAGTCAAATGACAATACTCTATGTAATATTTGTCCTCGTTTAAAACAGCAAAGATTGAGTTTTCATGTTAGTTCTATACAAACTTCAGTTATTTTTTATTTAATTCATATAGATCTTTGGGGACCATATAGAACTAAGTCCTTGAATGGTGCCTACTATTTTCTGACCATAGTTGATGATTATAGTAGAGCAACCTGGACCTTTCTCATGAATTCCAAAACTCAGACTACTTCTTTACTTAGAAATTTCATCCAATATGTGAGAACTCAGTTTGATAAGTCAATCAAAATTATTAGATCTAATAATGGATCAGAATTCACTTCCTTTAATACTCAAACCTTGTTTTCAGAATATGGTATAGTTCATCATAAATCCTGTGTTTACACACCACAACAAAATGGAGTGGTGGAAAGAAAACACAAACATCTACTGCAAATAGCTAGATCCTTGTTGTTTCAATCCAACATGCCAAAATATTTCTGGGGGGGATGCCATATTTACAGCCACATATATCATTAATAGACTGCCATCTTTTTTATTAGCCTGGAAAACTACTTATGAACTGTTGCATTCCAAACCACCTGAATATTCTCACATAAAAGTGTTTGGTTGCCTTTGCAATGCAACTGACACAACTCCAAACAAAGACAAATAAACAAAGACAAATTTGCATCCAGAGCCATTAAATCAGTCTTTATTGGTTATTCTTTTGGACAACAAGCCTATAAATTGTATGACTTAGATCAAAAGAAAGTGTTTGTTTCCAGGGCTGTAGTTTTTCATGAAACTAGTTTCCCTTTTAAAGTATCTTCTTCCTTTGAAACACCAGTCCCAAAAACCATTTCATCCACTGAACCTTGCTCAGAATATGAATGGTACAACTTCCCTGACAATTCACAAAGTGAAAATTCACATACTGACCATACAGACCAACAACAGTTTGATCCTCATTCTTCTCCACCTCATGAAGCAATCATCACTTCTGCACCAGTCACATCACCTGTTGTTGTGCCTCCCAGAAGATCTACTAGAACCAATAAACTTCCAGCATACTTACAAGATTTTGATTTAGGTAAAGCCAATCTGGTTGCTCAGATAGTGACTATACCCCAACAACATCCTACCTCATCTCCTCATCCACCAAAGACATTCCCTTATCAAGTCTCCTCTTGTTTTGCTACCCATCATATGTCATTTTTAGCACAAATCAGTGCCATAAAGGAACCCAAATGCTATGCTCAGGCCAGTTCAAATCCTGAGTGGATAGCAGCAATGGACAGGGAAATTGCAGCTTTGGAAGATAATATACTTGGAGCATCACCACCTTACCACCAGAGAATGCTGCTATAGGAAATAATTGGATTTATAAAATGAAATACAACTCAAATGGCTTTGTGGAGAGATATAAAGCCAGATTAGTGGCTAAGGGATACAACCAAGTGGAAGGAAAAGATTTTTTTGATGTTTTTTCTCCTGTGGCCAAGGTTGTGATAGTCAAGCTCTTCTTGGCAATAGCAACCGCAAAACAGTGGGAAATCCATCAGATGGATATCAACAATGCATTTCTGCATGGATATCTTGAAGAGGAAGTGTACATGTTGCCTCCTGAAGGTTATGATAAAGAATTACCAGGACAGGTCTGCATACTCAATAGGGCATTATATGGCCTCAAACAGGCTTTCAGGCAATGGAACCTGTAATTCACCACTCAAATTCAATATTTTGGCTTTAATTAGTCTGCCAATGATCTTTGCTCGTTTACAGGTACTATAGAAGGTCATCTCACTGTGTTGATAGTGTATGTCGATGACATACTCATTA